TCAAAAGTGCGAAAATCATCAGAAAAAGGAAGAATTATGGAGGAACTTAGAACTTAAAGGAGAAGGATTTGAACACTACTAGGACTTCAATTTGGGGGAATTTAGAAGCTAAATTGGACCTTCAAACACTTGAGTAAGTTTTTCATTTCTCTCTTCTACCTCCACATCTCATTTTTCATGGAATTTGAAAGTGGGTAAATTTACTCTGAATTGATTAAGCTGAGTCTATGTTTTAAAGACTTCAAGTGACTCTAAAGGTTTGATTTAAGTTTCTTAACCTTGGTAAGTGGTAATATGAAACTTCAGTATTGTTTGGAATGACTTCGATCAAGCCCTAGTTAAATTATGAGGTTTTGCAATGTGACAAATTGAGATATCAAGTGTTATGTTGTCATAAAGTTAAAGGGAAGCTTGAGGGGATTGTGTGAATTAGTTGTAACCTTAACTAGCTTCGTTGTTAAGAATAAGAGTAAAAAGAGGGAGAATTGGGGTGATATTGATAGTTAATAGTGATTGTGTTAATTAAAAATTAACATATAGTACTTATTGTTGTAGATTGAGATGTGGAGAATCTTGCTGTGACCCAAGAGGAGATTTAATACCACAGATAACTCTTTTAATAACAAAAAGGTTAACATAATTAAATATTTTATATTATTTATTAACTTATAAAAGTTATTCACAAGTTAATCGTATGATTGCTTATATATATATATAGGTATGTTGTAAAAGCTAAGTATTTTAAAAAAAATAAGGGAAGAGTAGCAATTTGTGAAAACTTCAACTTTTGAAATAAGTGGTAAAAGTATTTATTATACTAGTTTAGAGGTTGATATGCATTTGTCTAGTAGAGACATGTTGATAAATGTGGCATGTTAGTGGGTGAGAGTTCATATTAATGGAGTTAGTGAAGATAAAGTCCATATGGCATTATTAGCATCTTGAGACGCTAAGGGCAGCTTATATTTCTTCTTAGTGCCCGAAAGGGTGCAGTGTTGGAGAATTACTCTCCCGAGTGCTTGGAAGGGTGTGGAGTTAAAGACTATACTCCTTAGCATCTGAAGGATACAGTGTTAGAATAACAACACCTCAATCACTCGTAATAGGGGGAACCTGTAATCCAGAAGTGGTTTAAAATGCCTTGGCCAGATAGTTTAACAATGGATTAGCTGAGTAGCTACACATACTGTAATGCCCGATTTTATTTTGAATTGTGTACATAAACTTAAAGATATGATATTATATATTACCAATTAGGAATGCATATCATTTTGATTGGTTGCACTTGTATTATATCATGTTATATTGTATTTTAGCCCTATGTTTTATATGTGGTAAAGGGCTAAAATACTAGTACAAGTGCAAGGAATGTTATATATATATATATATATATATGTAGTGATAATGTAAACTTAGTGGGTTATGTGGTAATAACGAGGCCAAGTGTTCTTTGAGTATGATGTTGTAAAAATTGGCCATGTGAGGTGAAATTGGGCCTAAAGTGATCAAATTTTATGTTTGGTGTGTTATTGTGTGATTAAATATTCAATCAGGTGTATCTTGATCTATTAGACTTGGTTCAAACTTAAAAATGGGTTAGTGGTATAAATTTTGAGTTTTAGGTACTTGAATACTTGAAAATCGTTATAAAATCTGACTTTTTGCATGCGAGTGCCTAAAATTCTCATACGGTATCAAATCGTAACGAAATCTATACCATTAGTTAGCTTATCGAATAAGCTTCGCGTGAGTACTTGAACCACTCCAATCAGACATCAGATGCGAAAATGATGCGTATTCAAAGTTCACCTTGAAAAGCTATCATGACAGTATTTTATTGTCATGACAGGGACACAAGCGTTATGGCATGTTGCACACAAGTTGCGGCACACGATGCAGAGGCCGAATTGGCCTTTTTGTGCCACATGCCGTAATGCATAGACCACAAGCCGCGACATATGTGTCAAAATGCATTAAAAGGACATTTTTAACCCTGTTTTCAAGTATTTTGCTTCTTAAACTTTTTCATGTTTCCTATATCTTTAAGAGTTATTAAGTTTGAGTTCAAACTACTTATTTAAAAGGTTTTCAAAGGATCCCAAATATTTCAAACTATTTTTAAATGTTTATTAGTTTTAACCTTTTTGTAGTTATAGTAAGCTTAAAAGTAATCTATAGCTCCTAATTACCATTATAGTGTGATAGAGTAACGATTATTGATAATGTCAAGGTAGACATTACAAAAAGTAAATAAATTAGTGTTTAAAAGAAAGTAGGACAACCTATCATGATAAAAGAAAAAAAGGATCTACCATAATAATTAGAAATAATGCAATATTACAAATTAAGGCTAACCATGGTAGAAAAAGATAAAACCAAGTATTTTAAGGTTCTACTATGATTAAAAGGCAAAATACTCATCAATGAAATCCAAAGTAAATACCCTACCATAATAAAAAAAAGTCTACCATGGTAGAAAAGTATTGAAATAAATAATTAAAGATCTACCACAATATAAAAAATTGAAACCAAGGTTGTAAAAGATCTGCTAAGGTAGAAAAAAAAGATCAAAATTACTCAAAGAAAGAATATTCTTTAACACCAATTGGATTCAAGTAAAACAATATCCATTTGAACCCAAAAAACTTTGTAAAATAAATTTAGGAAGTAAATTTAAACTAAAAGGAATTGATTCCAAGTAAAAAAGGGGGTAAAAGAACAAGTGAAAATATGAAGTCTGGCATTGTTGGCCATGGCACACAAACCTTCCACCACGGCTAATGGCATGAGAGTGTAGTATTCTTATTGTACCCTGAGCCGCATCAGATTACATATATAAGTAAATTGTGAAGAACTAATTTTTAGACCCAACTTTCCATACACATAACTTTTGGCACACATTTGATTCAATGATTCAAGAGTTTACAAAAAGATTGTAAAAATATCTAATTAACGGCACTAATTTCACCCCCAAAAGTATGATTCATGCATGAATGGAGTAACAAAGGTAGACAGGCTCTTTGGAAGACTTGTTCAGGCGGGGGCTAAGGTTGGTTTAAGCGTGAAGAAGTAACAGAGGTGAATGACCTCTCTTGAAGAATGGATCACATGTGGATGGTTTTGATTCATTTGTGAATGAGTGAGATAGATGAGAAAGACATAAAACTTGGAATGATTCAAGTGAGGCTTCATGCACGAAGGAAAGAGTGAACACTTCAAGTCTTTTGAGGAAGAACTAATTCACGTGTCGACGTGACTGGTTCATGTGTGAATGGGAAGGCAGTGACATGAGTAACATAGAGAACCACATTCACATGATGACCACTTTGTATTCAAACGTGAATGACATTTCACAGAAAGCTTGACCAAGTCAACTTCTCATATTCGTGTGAATAATCATACCAATTCATGCGTGAACAGACAGTCAGAATCAAGAAGCCATTCGAGATGCTCATTAACATGTAGGAGAACACTAATTCACATATAAATGAGTGCACAGAGTCAAAATTAACTTATGGACAACTGATTCATGCGTGAATGTCATGTAAGTATGGAAATATGACTTTGAAATGATTTTTCATGCTAAGTTCAAGGCTCAAATTCATATTTTCTGTCTCAAAACTAGTTTTAAGCAAATGCAAACCTCACTAACTTGTTCTAAAGATTGATTTTAAGAGAAATATGAAATAATAAACCTATAAAACTAAGTCTTCACTGTAACAAGTTGAAACATCCTTTTTAATGTAATTTAAGGAAGATGTTTTATATGTTCTTTTAGGGTACCCCTTGGAATTTCAGGGTAATATTTCTATCAAAGTCCTAGTCTCAATGAGTACTATCAATATAAGTTGTAGTCTCAAACTACATAAAAATGACATTTTTGCCCTTACAAATGGTTTTGGCCCCAATGGATGCTTAAAGTTAAGTAATGGTTAAATGGCTATGATAACGCAATATGAGGCACTAAAAAGCATGGGCATGAGAGGAAAAATAAGTGTAGCACACAATTCATAGTCACAGAAAACAAGGAGATAATGGTAGTGATATCTAGAATATGACTGGAGAAGGTTTAGGAGCCTTAAAAATGGATTAGGGTTCCAAAGATGTGGAAAATAGAGCAATCACATATATAACTGCCAATAGTCGCAGACATCATAGGTTAGCCGTTAGCATAAGATATCTAGGGAAAGATATGGCCCATTGCAGCCACGGACAGAGAGCGTTGAAGCCGAATAGGGGTTCATTAAAAGGTATCCATCACCTAACAATGGATGCACATGTATAGCTATGGGTCAAGCTTATTTCGATTGAGCTCAATTCAAGTCAACTCATTTGGATCAATTTTAAAATACCTAAACATATAAAAAAACCTATATGGACAAGCCCAACTAACATCTTGGGCTTATACGGGCTTGATCAGAATATTCAAATTATTAAATTTTTTATTTTTAAATTTTTTTAAAAATTTCAATTTTTATCCTAAAAAACTTGAGATTTCTCAATTTTTATTTTATTTTAATTTTATTTTATTAATAATAAAAAAGAATTTGAGTTTTCACGCTCAACTCGGATTTCTTCGAAATAAAGAAAATTTTCTAGACTTTCAAATATAGCCTAAGGCCCATCAAGCTTTTCTTGAATTACCAGCTCTATGCACATGGTACATTTATGTTCAGTGCTGGACCCATTATTTTATTATGATGTGTTCAGTTTGGAACTCAGATTTCACAGACACGAATATCGACTTTAAAGGTGAAGTTTCTCTAGAACTCTGCATTCTAGGAGTTCAGGCTTGATTTGAGGCTCAATTGGATCAAGTTAAGCATCTACAACCTAAACCAACCAATTAGATCAAGATTTATACACTTCAATTGGATTTGTGGTTTTCTAAGTTCTTGGACCAAGGGTGAGTGGTAAACTTTTTCATTTGGAAGTTAAGCTTAATTACATAATCTATTCACTCTATTAATCTTATTTTGGAATTTAATCAGTGGAATTCATTGAAGTTGAACATTGGAAAACTGCCTATAACCAACATAAACAGGCAACTGCACGACCATTATGCAAAAGTTCTGTCTCAAAGTGCGGTTGATATATCACACTCCTACTCACTCAAAAGCCAATGCATCTTCTAAAACCAATTACAAGTCCCATTAAGTTGTAGTGCTAGTACTAATGGCCATTGCTTTCTAGACAAACCCAATCAAATACTAACAACTCTCTCTAAACATGATGTATGATGCAATGAATTACACGCCATTCGGATGATATATGCCTAGACTTATAGCTCTTCTATACTGATAAGATATTGCTTTTGATTTTTGAGAGCATCACCCTGACATGCTTGGACCTTTCAATCTCAGCTTTATGCGCTACGTTCTTGTGTTTTGAGGGAAGACTGTTGACAAGTTCATAGCTTACCAGCTTTCTAAATGCATCCTAAATGCAGAAAGTGAGTTTCTGTTTCTTTCTTGAACCTCCTTCAGTTCATAGCTTACCAGCTTTCTACATGCATCCTAAATGAAGTAAGTGAGTTTCTTTTTCTTTCTTGAACCTCCTTCTCCATATACCTCATTCCACTGCTTCAGCTCAGCCATCATTGATCCTTCATCAGCAAAACTTGCAGCAACCTCCATCAAAATAAACCATTAAGCTTTTTCAAGGATAATGAAATAGCTACATGTAGAAATAGATATTCTGCTGGAAGAATACAAGTCCTTGATTCCCCCATGTGTTACATTGATATATGATCAATTTTCCACAAGTATAATCAAGAGGGGTCACTAGACAAGTTTATGATCTCCTTTAACAGTTTTAGGTGTACATAGCCATTTGGTTATCTGATAAAGCTATGCGCTGAAATCAGGACTGTTTGGTAAGCTTTTTCAAGGAAAGGCATAATCGAAAGGAAGCAAAAGAGCAGCAAAATCCATCTAGTGATGAATCAAATACAGGTTCATCTGATACCTCATATCAAAAAATATCATCAACCTTATCCTATTTACCCAAATCGAATATAGTCACTGAATTCCCATGAACCACCAGAATAATAATTGCGAAGGGTTTTCAGTTAACCTTACCTGACTCTTAGCCTGTCTCATGTCTTCCATGTTTAAAGGCCTCAAGGTAATTACTCGCTCTTCTCCATCCCCCTTAGTATCTGATGCATCCTCTGAGCATTGTTCTGCAGCAGCTTTTTTATTCTTTTCCTCAATCAAGATAAAATTGATGCAAGTCAGCTAATTGATATTGATTAAATTGAATGGACACGTTTAGATTATGCCACAAATTAACATTTTAAAGGTTGCTTAGTAACACTACCATATCTTTTAATCTCTCCTGCTTCATGAGCTCCCTAACAGGTCGATAAGCAGCAGTTGTGCACAAATGCTGTTTATACGGAAATTTAGTGTCAAGAGATGGTGACAACAAATTGGAAGCAGTAAATTAGAATCACAAGCCGCAAAACAAACCTTAATATCACTTCCACTGTATCCTTCTGTCATGATTGCAAGATCTTTGAAGTCTAAATTTTCAGTCTTTTCCTTAGCTAGTAGAGTCTTCAAGATCATTTCCCTGTTCTCAACAGATGGAAGGCCAACCATGATTCTGCTCAACATGTACAATTACAGAGGCATCAGTTGCAAATCTCAATAATAGTATGTGTTTGAAAATCAAATTATTCAATAGTTTTGTTACGAGATGCTTCAGAGAATCTTCATAATAAATAGTAATTCAAATTGAAAGATGGAAGTATTTTTCTGTCAGTAAACAAAAATATCAGACAATTTATACACTTGAAGACTTTAGAGATCAGAAGTGTTGCATAGAGTTGGAAAAACAGGTAAAAGAACTATGTCGTATGATGGAGCCACTTGCAATCAATGTGCATAAGCTTTTATTTTGAGACCTTTTGTTTTCTTATGAGCACATAACTGTTGATAAAGGACATGCATGCACTTCTTCTAACAATGTAGAAACAGACAACCAATGTAACTATAATGGCTTGCCTTCGCTCAAACCGTCGTATGATTGCTTCATCAAGGTCAAATGGCCTGTTGGTTGCAGCAAGGACTAGAATTTGCTCCCCAGGTTTTGTCAATAGACCATCCCAGTGCATCATGAATTCATTTTTAATCTTCCTCATCGCCTCATGTTCTCCAACTCTTGTTCGCTGCCCAAGCATGCTATCAACCTCATCAACAAAAATAATAGTTGGGGCTACCTTTGCTGCCAATGTGAACAGAGCTCGGACATTTTTCTCGTCTTCTCCAAACCATTTTGAAGTGATGGTAGACATTGAGATATTGATAAAGCTTGCTCCAGCTTCATTTGCAATTGCCTTTGCAAGCATTGTTTTTCCAGTACCTGGAGGTCCAAAGAGCAGTATACCCCTACAAGGTTTAAGAAGACCACCTTTGAAGAGATCTGGCCTTCGAAGAGGAAGCATGACCAGCTCTTGGAGTGACTCTTTAATTTCATCTAATGCACCAATATCTGCAAATGTAACTCCGATCTCATTTGCAGGGATGACCTCTGGTCTAATGTGCTTCTCAAACTCATTGTCAGGAGGAACTTCCTGCAAGCACAAAATTGAACTTGTGATAACACAAAATAATAATAAAATGAAATAACGGAAGAAAGTAACCATGTAAAACATTTGTTCATATCAAATAGTTTCAAACTCTAGGCTAAGGAGATAAATGAAGACATGCTCAGGAATGGTTCGTGTTGGCGGCTTAACTATCAAATCTTTAAAACACTCTTACGATGTGATGGTCAAATTGCACAAAACTTTACGAAATAGTGCAATGTTAAAAAATGTGTAATATTTGATGATGATATTAGTTATCCATATAGAAACCAGTAACAGTTGCTAGCTGCTCATATGCATAGCAATATGAGCAGTGGGGTCTAAAATCAACAGAAAGATTGCTCTGCCTTTCAAGATCCCTCCAATGCATATCTTCTTGAGGTTAGCTACTGGGAAATCAATCTTACAGCCGCTTTTGGAGCAGAATTCTCTCCATCACTCTTTGTTAGAGGAATAGATCTCTCTGTCTCACTTTTGTTTTCAGGTGCTTGAGTGTCAGACCGTATCTCATTTTTTGCACCATTACACTCTGCGCCAGCTGAGTCCTCCAACGTCAATTTAGAATTATGAGAACTCTTTCATCATCTTCATAAACTTTTTTTTTCTCTTTTATTTATTTATTTATTAATATTTTTGGAAGAAATTGTGCTGATCCATCATGCTCTAGAAAATGAATATGGATGTAAGCATACCTTTTTTCCACTGGTCTCCAGCTTCAGGGTGTCCTCAGAGCTACTATTGCCTTCTTGAAATAGATTCAAACCATGGGACAAACTGTTCATTACCAACATCAGTGACTATAAAACATTTTCCTTAAATGAATACTTAGAAATCATTGGTCCAAATTCTTACCTCTCGGATGATATTACTAGCTTCCCATTTCGGTATTCTGGATCCGTGGTATTCATCAAGTAGTAATGTATTGCAGATACCACAATTTCTTCAATATATTTACTTAGTACCCTTGTGTCTGCATGGCAGATTGAATTCAAGTCATTACATTCAATATCATTGGCTGCAAGTACTTCAGCAATGTGTTTTTTGTTATCTTGAAACTGAATTATTTTCATATTATCTTCTTGTAGGGCGTTGCAATCATCTTCTGGTGGTTTAACCCCAATGTTGTAAGGAAATAATGTTGCGGGACTTTCATCAACTCCCGAATCTAATATCTGGGAACCAATTACCATCACTGGCCCTGAAAGTTTCTCAAGCATTTTATGAAACAAATTATACAGCCGTTCTGATTGGAGGAAAATCTTCTCAGCATCCCTAATGTATAAAATGATGGAACTTTTTTCTGAGACAGATACCAAGACCTGACACAATTAATATAGATCTGGCTTGTTAGAAATGACAATTGATAGATATATCCCAAGTCAATTTTTCTTAAATTTACTATTTCAATGCAAAGATTCTATTTTAAAATTAGATTAGCAGAGGACCAAAATCCTGGAATGAAGACATTTTACAAGTCATGTTAGTTTCTTTATTATACTTGTCCTATGGAAGCCTTGCCAATTTTGGTAGTTCTCAAATATAGTACAATTTCAAGTCAAAGAGAAAAGGTATGATGACATCACCTTGTAAAGCGACTGTATAAAGAGTTTTTCATCAAGACACAAGCTACTTGTGTTCTTCAAGGGACCTGAAAATGAAAGTTCAAAACAATGAGCATACAGAAAATTTGCAATTTTTGTACCATCGATTATAAAATAAGGAATAGACCATTTAGCTGTATTAAGAATGATAAGATATGATTGTTGTTGTTGTTGTTGTTTCTTAGAATATCCTAGCAAAAACTAAATTTTAAGAAACAGATGGATTTCTTAATTATAGAAATATGGTGAAAGAAGTGAGCAAACACAGCTCAATTAAAATTAGAATTATTAAAATTTGATTTGAGAAGGATGAGTAAGCCCAGCCTTACACATTGGCAACCAATAGTACCGGAGATTAGAACATTTTTTACCCAGTTATCAAATAATAAGTAAAGAAGATATTAGCTAAAACTGGATGACAGAAAGAAATAAATATGCTTTCAAGTATAAACTGAATTTGCTGGGCCACATTGGGAAGCAGTACTACTCATATCAGATGCAGTAGAGGCATTGCTACTAAGTTTTGGAGATGCATTGGAACTTCCAGTACTATTACTGTGTGCGCGTAAAATGCCTGAATGAAAATTGTCAATCAAGATATGTTGAAAATATGTAAAAACACAAAAAAATTAGTAAAATCTAGAAAATGATCAATAACTGAAGGATATTCATAGATACAAAATCTACATGGTAAGATGATATTGTAGAAAAACTCATAAACTTCGCAACAGTCATATTAACAGTTTGAACTTAGAAATATCACCGCTACCATGAAAAAGTAATTTAATACTAGCAAATATTATTATTGTTTTTCCCAACAAGGGTTGGGGAGGGCAAATGTTTCTTTCTTACCTTTAGTTTTTCCAGTTGAAGGGAGAACTGAAAAGGAACCAAAAAGACTGGACACTCGCTCAAGAGTCACCTCAGATAAGGACCTTTGAAAAGACTATAAACAAAGCAAACCAGTTAGGAAAATCCCCTTGCAAAACAACCATTTTTTTGTGAGTTTTTGTTATCCTTTTTGAAAGAATATAACAGACTGAACTGAAGATTCATTTTATTTGAGGAAAGTCAGGAGTCTAGAATTATAGGCAAGAATGCACTCCTCCACGTATTTATGTCGATCCATGTTCTAGTTAATAATTTTAAAATATGACTTATGGAACGACAAAGTTAGAAAACAAATTTAAATTGTGTAAACAGTGAAGTATCTTCAGTCGTTGATGCAGGTCAGACGCCATGGCAGTACCCCAAAAAAAAAAAAAAAACTTACTGGTTCTTTTTTTGCACATCCATGTTTGCTTTCCACCTGGACAAAGGAAATAGATCAGATGTGAATATTTGCCTATTCAATTTAAATAAATGAAATTAATATATGAAAATTATCACCTTGAAAGAGAAGTCAGGGATATCTAGCAGCAGCAACTTTGACTCAAAGTGTTGCGCTAAAGCCTTGGCAAGTTTTTGCATGTAAAGTTCTTCAAAATTTGAAAATACCAGAATGAGTCAAACAGACATGAATACCGAAACATCTTGTGCAGAACATCATAAGGCAACTACATAACATACCTGTAGGTCCAGAAAGCAGAATTGCCCTGCTTGCTGGTGACAGGTTACGGGTGTGTTTCGAAAAGTGAAGTTGTTTTAAATGAACAAATGCAGCATTTGTCAATAACTCACGTGTTCTTTTACTGTCATTGTCATCACCAAGCAGTGGAATAAGATTTGAGTTACCAGGGAAATAATAATTCATATTTCATGTACGATCTAGTTGCTGGTGTTTATACATAGAGATCTATGCTAAGCGTTGGCCACAGTTGTGGCTAAAAGCCTAAAACATGGTTTTTACACTTGCTTATACCTTAAAGAAAAACTCAATAAGTACTTCAAGAGATCTATCGGTAAAAACATGGCTCTTAAGCTTGCATACACCTTAAATAAAAATTTAACAAGCACTTCAAGCATCATGACTGGCTCAGAGTAATATATGATCCAAGAATTTATAAAACTGAGAAAAAAGATGCAGGGATACAGCTTCAACATTGTAAGAGTTCTTAATAGTATGTTTATTTCACTAATAGCTTACCTGAGAACTACACTATATAAGAGTAGCAGACCAAATCAAAAAACAAAATGCAATCATGCGTAGACTGCATCGCAAGCTAAATAACAAAGCTGCATAAATTAACAAGTGCTTTTGAAGCCTGTGGAATTAGTTATCTACTCATTGTTTACATGCTCTGAATCAGAAGTGCAACTGAATGGGGAAATAAAAGGTGTACTAAAGCACAAAGAGCATATGTTACATTTTCTATGAAGAGGATGAAACTGGAATCTGCACGGGAGTGCTAAGATTCACCAGGAATCAATCTGAACAATGAAAATAAAATAAAAACCACAAAATATGCAACTGAAAAGAATAATCCTATAAATGAGGAAAACATAAAGAAAAATTCCTTGTGATTGAAAGAAATACTTTGGACACGTGAATTTCAAGATTCAGTTTCATTTTGCCCGTTTCATAACACCATCTTACTCATCAAGAAAGTGACATCGCATCACATCACATCACTGATCTCCATTAACTTCTCATCTGTTCTGGCCTAAGAAATAATAAAAATGAAAGAATTTGCTGGGAAAAGTAGACAGAAGTCCTCCTACAGAAAATCAAAGAAAGCTCGGGGTTGACAGAGCATGAAAGCTGAGATCAATAACAAACTAACAAAATCTCAGAACCATCATAGAAGATCAGGAGTATCAGAAAGTCAAATCTATAAGCACAAGAAGCTTCAAAGTAGATAGCAAGAAATTTTCAAGTATCCCGTGAAAAATATTTTTTATACTTACAAAACCTCTAAACTACAAGCTTCATTGTACAAAATAAAAAGCAAGCAACAAATACATTGAAACTTTTGGTAGGAAATATCCGTTAAATTACCTTAAATAGTAAGGAAACTCATCAAAAGTTTCCTTGCATTCCTTGCCATCAATCACCAGCCTCAAAAGCTCCAGCTCAATCTGCTCACCAGAGAGCTCACGATTCCTTCCAACCCATTTCTGAACCACCTGCCCTGAACTCAATCCAAGCCCCACTCCCAGACCAACCCCTACGCTCAATGCTGACAACAAAGCGCATTTCTGCTCCATCTGTTCTGAAAGATTTGGTTTGATTTGATTTGGCCCCTTTTGAGAAACCAAATATCTGCTCCTCTTAATCGATTCTCACCAACAGGACATCAAAAGATTAACTAGGCTCGAGATTCTGGATTAGAGAGATTCAACAATGATTTTTGAAACAAAAACGAAAAAGGAAAACGAGTCTCTGGAGACGGGCGTTGCTCTGAAGAAGCAGCAGTTGAACTGCTAGTGTGGGTTAGTCCCCTCTTCACTACATACATATATATAGATATCATGCCACTCTTATGAATGAAGAATGCATAGAGGCACTAGTGCTTGCCTGGAAGCAACAAAGCATTGAAAGCAAACGGAAAAAGATTATTAGTGTATTACTTTCTAAAAAAGCTGCTTTAGGTAGTGGCAAGGCTAGGCCAAGCCAAATCTGGTTCTCACGCTGTCCCATTTCTAACAATATAAACTAGAGTTTAAAGTGCTTTTTTATTCCTAAATAAAGCATTTTAAAGAAAATTATCAAGTAAAGTTGCATATAATCTCTCAAAAATATTCTTTTTTTAATTATTGCATGGCTCGGTGTGCTGGAAAACTGGAGTATTACCAAACCGTCTAGACTCATTTAAATCTCCTTATTAATGATAGCCTCTCTCAATCAGTTAATTCAAACGCCCCTTAATTATGAATCACTTTTTCCAACCATCAATATTGAGTACAAAAAGAAAGGATCTTGATACCAAGATACTAAAAATCAATTGGTTATTGAATAGATTAAAAAACATCAGTTTAAAGATTAATAGTTAAAATATAGTTAATCAGTTATAAATAAAACATTTTATTAAATTGTTTGAGACATTGGTTTAACAAATGGGAGTTAAAATTCTTTTATCAAGGTTTTAGATAGAAAAAATGACCAATAAAATTCCACTGAAATATATAAATAATAATCAAGTTCCTTAAAAATGTTATAATTCTTCAAAAGTGTCTAAATACCTTTCTAATATTAATAATTTTAAGTTAAATGATTAAATTATTTTTTAAAATTAAAAAATAACAGATTCACACAAAAAGTTGTGATTTTTCATCCACTTTATGTGATTTATAAAATAAAAGTTGTAATTGATTATTTTCAAAATTTGAGCATCAATGATAAAAGAAATTTAACACAAGAAATTATAATTTTTTATTTAATTATTGTAATTTACAAAATAAAAATTGTGATTGATTATTATAAAAACTTGAACTTTAATAATAAAATAAATTTCATGTGAAAAGTTGTGAATTTTTATTCAACTTTTGTTATTCATAAAATCAAAATTATAATTATTTAAATAAAAGTTATGATTGGAAGTGATTATTTTCAAAACTTATTTATTACTTATAAAAAAAATTCATATGAAAAGTTATGATTCATTATTTAATTTTTTAATAAAATTTATGATTATTTAAATAAAATTTATAATTATAAAAATAGTATAAAATTTATTATTTTTATTTTAAATAAGAGATAATTTAATCATTTAATTTAAAAATATTAATATCAGAAATGTACTAAAAAACATTTTGAATGACCTAACTAGTTGGCGCTCATTTGTTGAATATAATATTGGGCACCTTTTTGCGAGTTACAGTGCGATTGTTGATTTTTCTAAATAAATTAGTGTTAAGTGGAGGAAGACCGTATGGTACTGGTTGGGTTGGTGGCCACATAAAATTAAAAATATTTATGGTGTTATTCTAAGAAAATTAAAGCCTTACCCTTTTATATATATATGAGAAAATCACAACTAAAGATTAATGAACAACATTTATTATTTTATAGGATCAAGAGACCTAAATATAATTAAAATTTATTGTGAAAAATTAAAATTACCTCTCTCTCTCTCTTATATTTATTGTAATGGAAGAATTGTTGTTGTTAAAATAAAAATGAAATTTTTTTTAATAAAAACTTGTTCATCATATTATAATACTTTTTTCTATCACTAAGTTAATATTTTAGAATTATTAATAAAAGAATTAATTGTTATTAAAATGAAAGTAAGATTTTCTTTTTTTTTAATGAAAATTTATTTATCAAATCATAAACATTTGTTTCTATCCACCTCCAAATTAATTTTTTGGAGTTGTTAACAAAAGAATTAATTATTGTTAAAATATAGATAAGATTTTTTTTTTCCACAAATGAGGACTTGTTGTTAAAAAAGAGTGAGAGAGAGAGAGAGAGAGTGTGCATGTGTGAATTAATCTTTCCATAAAAAGTTTTAATTACATTTAAATTTTTTAATCTTGCAAAGCAATATCAAAATCACTTAATTTTACATAACAATAAATATTGTTTAGTATAGTCCTTGATTATGATTTTCCTTTATATATTATACACTCCAATTTTGCATCTGAATTTGCAGAAGAGAGAATATATTTGTACCAGATTAATTGGATTTACACTGAAAATTTTAACAAGTTGATCATTCCTGGTATGCTCACTCCATCTTGAATTTCGCATCATCAGATCAGAGTGATGAGATTAAATTTAGATGATTTAGGGTTCTTTGTTTAAACTTATTTTATAAAAAATCATTATTTTTTTTAAAAATTATTTTGTGAGTTTTTACTATGTTTGTTTAAATTTTTGAAAATAATCAGAATAAAAAAAGAAAATTTTAATTATTTTAAGAATCTACTTTGAATAACTTCTAAAAATAATCTAATATAGTAGATAAGAGATAATGTTTTAAAAAGGCGAAATATGCAAAGATATCATAAAATTTTAAAATAATATAATAATAAATTATTTTTATAAAACAAAAACCATGGAAGATATAATAAAGTTTAAAAATAACTAATTAATAATCACTTCTTTATTATTTTAATTAAATATAAAATAATTTTGCTTTTTATAAAATCTATAATAAAATATATTTTTTTATAAAATCTCTAAACTATTTAAAAATTATTTATTTTTTAATTTTAAACAAACGAGCCATTAGTTTTAAATTTTTTATTTTACAGTTATTAAAATAAATATTTATAAAACCTTTTAAAAAATCTGTTTTATCATCAATATAAGTAATCAAGATTTAATATGAATAATTTAAATTTAATATTAAAATTTTTATAATTTTTATAAACTAAGTAACCAGATTTACTATGAACTATTTAAATTTAAAAATTTTCACTTATAATTTTTTTATAAAAATATTTTTTGCAAACTACCAATTAGAAGATTATATTTGTTTTCAATATTGCATTTATCAAAATAAAAATTTATAAAATAAAAAAATTAATTTTAAAATAGACTATCCAGAATACATTTGAACAATTAATTTTTAAAAATTATAAATTTTATTAATTTAAACTAAACTATCCAAATTAAATCTGCACTACCAAAATTAATAATAAAGCATATTTATTTTTAAAAATATAATTTTTATAAATTTAATTGCAATAAATATAAAATAAAAATTTTAAATTTTGACGGTGCATATCTTACCATCTGTGAAGTGATTAGCACGGAAGACATCCTCGTCAATCTTATTCACTTTGTCTCCATCACAACGCATCATTTTCTTTTCTCAATCAAAGTGAAAACAGCCAATCCCAAAGCAATTTTATATGCCTTCATAGTTTGCGCTTCATGTTTTCTTTGCTTGCCCCACAAAACAGAGTCAATAACTTGCGCTCTTTGATTTCACATCATGGGTGCTGAGGAAGTAACAATGGCATATGGATAAGAAATGTCGGAACTCGAAAGACTCTGTGTTGACACTTGTTTTACACTCCCTAATCTTTTTAGTAAAAAAATTAAATTACTCCTTTAATTTTTTTATAAGTAATTTTTATCATTATTATCAATATCAATATAAAAAAATATAAGTAATACAAGTATGTAGAATTTTAATTATATCCCTATATAATAAATTCAAAAAGCAATATCATATTACTTTTTCTATCTCATACAAAGTAATTTTAGACATACGTTTCAAATATTATCTAAAAAAGATACACTATAATTTATAAATGAAATCAAATAAATCTTTTAAAATATTCTTTGTAAATAGAACTGGAAATTACGTCCTAAACTATAAGTTCAATAGTGCTTAAGACTCTAAACTCATTTTTTATTTATGGTTCCTATTCAACTTTTAAAAACAATATAATTTGACATTTGCCATTAATAAAAATTAATTTTGACTGTTAGTTTATAAAAAAAAATAATATAAAAAGATATCAAAAATTATAAAAATTTTCAAAAGATTACAATAAATAACTCAAAAATTAAAAATAAAGGTCTAAAAATTATAAAAAAAGATTGAAAAAAATTTTATTGATATTTCTCTATAATTTTTTGAGTCCTTTTCTATCATCATTTATTAGTCAACTAGAGTAAAAAATAACTTTTGTTAACGTTAAGAGTTAGTTTGTGTTGTTTTTAAAAATTGAAAGAGAATATCATATAATAAATAAATTTAAAGTTTTAAATAAGTTTAGAGATTAATTTATTCTTTTATCATTTTTTTAAACATCACATTTATATTGACTTCTTTCATGCTTAGTTTGTGTTTTTTCCCCCTTATGTGGCATTCATGATTTCTGTTTAGAGATGATGAAAAGCAATTGTAATGTTATAATTTTTAATTATTTATCCAAGTAAAAAGTTATACCCAAACCAGAACGATAATAATTTATTTTCTTTCTCTTTTAAGAAAATTATATTTTTAAAAAATAATAATTAATATTGGAAATCCTTATCATATGGTCCCAAAACTCAAACCATTATGTCAGACGAACTGAATCATTGTTAAAATATGATCAAAATATATTATTAAAATAATATGGAAACAACCTGTACGTGTTTATTAAGAATGGAATCAATTTGGTAGCATGTGCGTTCATTGGAACATGTGAACGCAGATTTGGATTTTCCGTTCAAACACGTTTACAAAATTTCTTAGCACTTTACCTTCCTTAATTATTTGCCACTGCCAAACAATTTCCTTGAAATTGCTTGAGGTATATATATATATTTTAGGAGAATGACGATAAAATCTGAAATGAAAAAATTAATAATAATTAGGTCTTTAATAATTTTTTAAAAAATAAATTATAAATACTTATTCAAACAGTTTGATAATGGTTTTTTGATTCCCATATATTCTTTTCAACGAAGGCAGGAGTTCTTTCAGCGGTAATGGGAATTCTAGAGCCTGTTTGGTTTCAATTTTTTAAAATTAGTTTTTTTTAAAAAAAAATTAAAAAATTGGTTTGGTTAAGTCTTTTGAATTTAATTATTTTTAAAACTTTTTTTATTTTTTATTTTGAAAATAAAAAATAGAAACACCTTAAAATTATTTTAATTTA